CCTTCTGCTCAGGTCATGATCCTGGGGTTCTGGGATCAAACCCCGAGTCGGGCTCCCTGCTTGGCGGGGAGTCTGCTTCTCCCTCTCTCTACTCCTCCTCCCTGCTCGTGCTCGCTCTCTCTCAAGATAAATAAATAAAATCTTTAAAAAAAAAACATATCTGAAGGCTACTCCTGAAGGCATAAGACTAATCACTTGGCTGGTGAAAAATGAATCTAGTGGAGCCTACTCACTCACTCATAAAAAAATATTCCTCCTGGACCCACCACGTATCTAGCACTCACATGGGTTAATTTCACAGTGATAGAGAAGCCATTAGGTAAACAGGTGTCTACATTTTTCTTTTTTTCTTTTTTGGTTCTAGAAACCCTGAAAGGAGTTTAGAGCATTAAGGCAAAAGCATGAATTCTAACTCTATAACTAGATGACGAATACTTATATTTCTTTTATTAGAGGGAAGATATTTGAGAAACTCTGAAAGCTCAGATACAAATATATACCTTTCCTCCTCTTTTCCTTTTAAGCAAAATTTTAACTAAATTTTAGTTGATATGAGTGACAGAAAATTCAGACTGTGACCGGAAGAACTAAAGGAAGGCACCTCCTTACTTTTGTTCCCTTTATTAAACAGGAGGGATTCGAGAGTTCTGATTTATTTCTCTTGTTCCCTTTTATTGTTCATGAACTTAAGGCTGCATTCCATTGACTCCAAAGTAATTTCTGAAAAAAGATCTGCTGACATTACAGGGTATCTGGATCATTAACCATGTCAGTGCTGACCGAGGAAATAATGTTCTGGCAGAAAATAGTTATTTGTTTAAAAGAAAGGCTGAGATGTTGCCATTGCACACATCCTTATAGATGGCATATAGGTTATTTATTTTTGTGGAAAGTTCTCAGGAAACCTGGAAGCTAAAGATAATGCTGTTGATTAGAAAGCAGAATTAGAAATATTGTGTGTATTCTCCCCATTCTGTCCTATTCCTCCTAGAAAATAAAATTGCCAACTCGGTGTCCCCTAATTTTTAGGGCATCCATCTTTTTGTTCCATTAGGGGATGTACTAGTCATGGTACGGGGAGGGAGGTTATGATAGGGTACAAAAATGAATGGTAAGGGGAAGAAGCTGACTTGAAAAATAGATCCCATGGAGAAGAGTCAAAGGAATAAAGAATCTTTTGCTTGAAAAAGAGAAAAGACGGTTTCTCACAATTTTTCATTTATAACAGAGGTTGGTAAATGTCTTTTTTGTGTGTGGACAGTGGGGCACTACCAGATTACATAGTGATATTATGTAAATATTATGCTGGCATATATATAATAAGAAAGAAAACGAATTTACACATTTTTCTAATGAAATTAAAAATATAATAATGGAGGGCAATTTTTTTTCAATGCTTGTTTACCAATGAGAAGCCTAGAATTTGTGGGGGGAAGGACAACATTTGGCTTAACTGGGATTATAAGTAGTGTTCCCTATTTTAAAATCATTACAAATACTCATCGGTAAAAACTCCTATTTCACAATCTATACAAAAGTAGGTGCTGAGCTGCATTTAGTGCATAAGTCACAGTTTTCTGGCCTCTTCTATGGAGTCTTTTTCAACCCTGAGAAGCAGTTATTCTCAGCATCCATCAGGAATTGCATTAGAGGGAATGAACATGAATGTTGGTGATAGGAATCAGGGCTCTATATAGGAAAACATAGAGTAGGCAAGGGCTATGGGGACAGAAATATAGGGAATTAACTAACACTTCTGCTGTCTGAACTCAGAGAAAAAAACAAATCTCTTGAAAGTCTATATACTCCATGCTATATCCAGACAATATTTTTTTTCTAGGTGATGGACAAGTGTCAGTTTTTATGTTTCTCCCCCTCTACCATGTAGTTTTTAAGCTTTGTTTTGTTAATACCCAACATCAATTTTACCTGTAAATAAGGTCTGGACCTAAAAATAACCTGTTCTCCATTAAGGTCCATCAATTTCTATGAAGTAAACGCTATGTAAGAATTTCCTATAAAGCAATATACTTATAAATACACTGCCTGGATTTTTTTTCATATTTCTTTTATTGTAGAGTAAAACTCCATTCTAAGGTACCATAATTTATGGGGGATTAGGTTTTATTGCAGACAAAAATGACCTTCCTCTAATACAGGGGTGGACGTTCAATGTTGACTAATATTATGTCACATAAACACCAGTGTCCTGGCTATTTGAAAAAGAAGGCTCTACCTTTAAGATAAAACAGCTGTGTTAGCATTTTGCAAGCTCCTGCACATCACAACTGTTAGATTCGTTGTCGGGAAGGAAAACTCAGCAAACACATATCGTGCTTACATTTAATGCTTTTGCTCAAGGTAGAAACAATTTTAAAAAGCAACTTAATTTTAGCAGAGTGTTCCAAACCTGCTTGTTTCTCTTCCTTAAGCCTTACTTTTGTAGAGTTTGTAGAGAATGTAATATTTTCCTCATCCTATACTTGATCTTAGCCAAAAGGCCGAGAAGAGATTTTCCTCATCCTAAAATAAGTCTGTCGGGCATAACACTTCTCTGTGTAATGTCCACCAATTCTGTAAGAATCAGGCTAGATGTCTTCTTCTCTAGGAAACTCCTCTTTGAACTGGCCCTGGCGTCCAGATAGGGCACTACCTCCTTGTGCTCCCACAACACCATGCCCACATTCCTACCATTACACTTCCATACTGTGTTAGCGGTCTGTTTAAAATTCCATCCAGTCTAACCCAGTTAGACTTTGGACAACTTTAAGGCAGAAATCACATCTTATTCACATCGCTCTATCCCAGGCACCTAAGCACAGGGCCGAACACGCAGTAGGAGCTCGTTATAAGCTTTCTAAATTAAAAGGGAAGTGCATGGATGCACTGAGGGACAATTAGACAAGTACGGAAGTTCTAGTTTCCCCCAGGGATGGACTCACACTCTTTTCCTCACTGCTTTCCAAGGAGGTCAGTGTGACTATGACGTGATTCTGGATGTCGGATAAGGCTGAGGAGCACTAAACAGGAAGAGGAAAAGGAGGTGCCCAAGAATGAGAAAGGCCCATTACCTGTGAGCGGGAGGAATACGACACGGCCCAGGGTTGCTGGAGCTAGTTAGGGTCTTTGTAATGTTGGCTGCAGGGGTGGCTGCCAAATCACTGCCTCTTCTTTTCTTCCTTCTCTCCCTCCCTCCCATCCTTCCTTTTCTTTATTGTTTATTTACTTTTTAGTTCATCCCTACCATTTTGTAACTTGTTTTTGCAATTCCCTATCTCTGCTGAAAGGCCCCAAGGAAGCTCTGCTTGGCAAAACTCTATGGGGTCAGAACCCCTGTTCCTGCTCTTTCTCCTCTCCCTTCCATCCCGTGGTGATGAGGAAAGAAAGTAGGAGGATCCTATCACTTTTTCATTGCTGAATATTTGGAGACTTTTCCTTTTGTCTGAATATGGGTGGTAGGGTTGAGGGAGGGAGAAAAGCCTTTTTTCGTGGGAGCCTCTTCTTTGTCCTTTAATACCAGCCCTCGAAAAACCTTTTATAGACTCCTCAATGCTCAGGGCTGCAGTACATCCACAGATTCCTTCCCACATCTGTAGTGCTCTTCTCATTGCCTCTCCCCCCCGCCTTTTTTTTGGATGGGTTCAGCTTCCTGTAAGGAGTTAAACACATCTTTGACATCTGGCCAACCTGTGTTTACCCCCTTCTCCTCCTGCCCCAAATTTCAGCTCCATTTCTAGCCACTGAAGCTGAGGAATAAGCTATAGAGGAGCAACTGGAAGACTAACCACACACTGCCTGCCCACCTGTATAGTCATGATCTGGGGAGATTGGCGCTGCGGCTGGCCTGCCCAGGGCCCCACGGAACATCGGCTAGAGACTCCGGGAGGGTAGAGGTGTGGAAATGGCTAGTTTCCACATTCACCGTGTCTAAGTCCTATGCCATTTATGCAAAAACTGTGTGTAAGTACTCAAGAGAACATTATGGCTTTCATTTTTCTAATCCACCCAATACTAATTAGAAAATGAGAACAGTTATTAATTTTTACAGCAGTTTTCAAAAAGAAAAGAGTAAGTTCATATACATGAACTATGAGGCAATTTTGCTCTCCAGAAAAATGGATGTGGGGATCCGATGGGGGCAGTGATGCAGCAGAAGATGCAAACGGCTCACTGTGATTAGTGACCTAGTGGCTGCTGACATTTTAAAAAATTTGGGAACAAGTCGAAGCAAGTCCCTTTGTTTCTTCAAGTATTATTGCCTCTTTTCATGCTGTGGTCTGATGTAGGCAAATGTAGTTAATACTCTGATACAAAGGGCTAATTTTGTAGCTTCAGAAAGAAACTTCTGTGCCTTCCAGGAGCTTGTAAACATTTTTCTACACTTGTGAGGGAAACACAGATATAAAGAGGACTTAATATTTGATGTTTTATAATGTTTGTAGAAACCATTCTGATGGCACTGCATGGACAATACCAAGGCTAGAGAAAGGAAGAAAAATATCCATCCAGATTTAAACCATCCCAAGGGGGGAAAAAAAAGGGGGGCGCCTGGGAGGCTCAGTCGTTAAGCGTCTGCCTTCGGCTCAGGTCATGATCCCAGGGTCCTGGGATCGAGCCCCGCATCGGGCTCCCTGCTCAAGCGGGAAGCCTGCTTCTCCCTCTCCCACTCCCCCTGCTTGTGTTCCCTCTCTCGATGCGTCTCTCTGTGTCAAATAAATAAATAAAATCTTAAAAAAAAAACCAAAAACCATCCCAAGGACAGGATTTCCATATATATCCAGAGGCTTATCCATTTCAATACTTTAGCAGTTAAGAGCAATTAAGCCTTCAGAATTACTTACGGATAGTCTCTCTGCCATTTGTGCATCGTGATACTCTTTACTGCTGTGTAAACATATTTTTATCAACACTTACAAGACAACCAGTTTTAATAAACAAAGTAACAAACGTAAACTAAAGGATTCAGGAGGATAATTAGTCCAAACAACTGGCATACTTACAGTTGCATTTCTTCTGAACAAACCTAAGCTTGCATGCTGTTCTGTAGGTGGAGAGTCGGATACGATCCAGATCTTGAGCCCCTGGTAGGGGAAGAAAAGTACACATATGGTATGCCATGTGTGTGGAAAAGGATTTGTAATATTTATAAGGAAAACGACGATAGATATTATAACCCATTCACTTAACTTGATTTTTATTTTTATTAGAATACAAATATAACTTTCAAACTTGAAAAGGTCTGCCTCATATCCCTCAGGTTTTAGGGGAAGAGAGCACACGTAGCCAGCACGTTGGTTGTCGACCATGTTCATGGGCCGAGGAACACGACCTCAGTCCTGTGGTGTATGCCACTTCCGAGAACAATCTGCTCAAATTGTGACTTTAAATAGCAAGATGATAGCAGTATCATCAAATAACCATTTTAAACGCACTGTGATTGGTCCTCAGAATATGGCTGCGAGGTGAGCACTTGCTGAATATGGGATATCTTTCCTGTGTGACCTTAGGTCAACTGCTTTTATTTATTTTTATTTTTTTATTTATAAGATTATTTGTTTATTTATGTATTTATCTGAGAGAGAGAGAGAGAGAGGGAGAGAGAGAACAAGTAAGGGGGAGGGGCAGGGGAGAGGAAGAAGCAGACTCCCCACTGAGCGCAGTCTGTGGGGGGGTGGGGGTGGGGGTGGGTGCTTGATCCCAAGACCCCAAGATCATGCCCTAAGCCAAAGGCAGATGCTTAACTGACTGAGCCACCCAGGTGCCCAGGTCAACTGCTTTTAGAAACCTCAGTTTTCTCATCTGGAAGTTGGGGATGATGATACTCCTACTACTTATTTCACAGAATTAGAAGGCAAATGCGTGACTACACCTAAGCACAGAGAACACTGCCTGGCACATAGTTCGGGCTGTGTATTCATTAGTATTACTAGTGCATATCCTGCAAACCTTCCTGTCAACCTCAGAGGAGACTCCTTTCTAAAAACAACCACTACTCTTTCTTATACTGCGGCTTCCCGTTCCTCTCTAAAGAGAGAGCACGGTCCGCATATTCTTGAACTACTTTCCTCATTCTACACTTCTACTCAAGAATCCAGCATGGCTTCTGCTGCTCACCAGGTCTGAATGTTCTGCTGAGAATCCAAGCCCCTCTGTGTGTTCTTTCCATGCCACCAACCCAGTAATATTTCCTACGACTCTCTATCCGGAACCTCTGCCAGGCTCGGGCTGGTGTCCTCACAATGCCCTGCAGATGGGCTGCTTGCCACATCCACACTGGAGTTCCTGGTGACCCTCCTACCCTTTTCTGAATGAGCTGGTCTCTAGACTGTGTCTAGAACATAGCAGACTTTCAACAAATGTCTGTTCTTCTCTGCTTCCAAATATTTGGCTTTCTTTAAGCCCATGTTTATGGTTCATAACAGATATAAAGGCACAGAGCTATATTTTGACATGTGTTGAACTTTACCAGTAAAAGTGCTACATAAGTGTTTCAAAATAGAATAGTTAGGGTAGCAAGTAAATGGAGTAGCCTAGAAATAATTATATTAGGAGGTCAATTAAGTGCTTTCTTAATGAAACTCGGGATGAATTAGCAAGTGTCTTGCATTGAGAGCATTTAGCATCCCCTTGAATCAAACTGGTCTCTTTAGATTCATTTAAAAATGATATCAATATTCCCATTACTTTATAGCTTTATGAAGCAGATCATTAAATATTTATTTTTATGAGAGTGTATTACTTGACAAACAGGCTCATTGACACAGTGCTTGAAGGATCAAAGAGATAGGTAGGGCCTACCCTCACCCAGGGCGGGAATTCTCTTAAACATGCTCTCAAGAGATGGACATGTGGACAATGGCCATATAAGATTATTTTCAAAGATAGGGATGATTATAACTTAGTAAAAATAAATGAACTTTAAAGTCAGTAAGCCTTAATCTTTCATTTCCTAGCTGTGTGAACTTTGACAAGTTTTTACTCGGTATCTGATTTCTTCATGTATATGGGGATAACAATATCAGTTTTACCAGCTGGTAATGTCTGAAGCTTGTACCTAGTGAGCACTTAATAGCAGGTGGGACTCCTTAAAAGATTTCTTATACCATTTCTGAGCAACAGTAAGTGATAGAAATTTCTTTTTTATATTTGAGCTTTAATTTGCATCCTGATAAGTTCAATCCATTTGATCCTTTCTGGATACACCTATGCTTTTCTCCCTGCCACTTGATAATTTATTTCTCACACATTGGGAAGCAGCTATCATGATCATGACTAGCATCTTCATTACCATCTGAAGATTATGTACAAATGCCCCTGTCATCATGGAGTTTAGAGTTTAGCTGGGATCATAACTTCTTGACCTTTTAGATTGGAGAGGTTCAATTCTACAGCCATTTCAAGCACAATGTCTACCACAGAGGGAGGCACACAATAGGGCTTCAATACATGCATGTTGCTATTATGATTTTCATTATCATCAGACATGACTTTGAGACCTTTATCCATTCTAGTCTTCCTGCTCTTTGGCTGGCTCATATCTCCTCGAAATGAGATACACAAAATTAACCCAAATGCCACAGTTATTGCCTCGCTTATACAGAATATATAGAAAGGAATCATTACCAACTTTGATAAGGACACTTACTAATGCAATTAAAAAAAAAATGAACGGTTCATTCTTCTGGCTCTTTTCATTAAAAAGCGGGTTTTAAAAAATCATATGGACCTACATCTGATCAGATTTTTCTGTTTTCTATTTAAATGCTTATTTGGAGGCTAAAGGTAGGACATTGTATTTATCTGGTTAGTTTCTTTTAATTTTTAGCTCGTGCTTGTAACCATTCTAAAAATTTTGATTTTGCCACTGGCATTTCAAAGGGACTTCCCAGTTTCGTGTCCTCTGTAAATCTGAGAGGCTTCTGTGGAACATGAACTCTCTAGAGACAGAGAGACTATCAGAAATCCCTGAACACTAAATCTGCCTTTTCCTCTGGATGAAGATGTATTCTTATTGATGCTGAGCTTGGCTCAACATTCAAGAGAGTCTCAATATCTGTAAATAAGTTTTTAAAAGAAGACATTAGGGACACAGATTATTTGTGTAAGTTCTGGAAGAATAATGATAAGCCCCAGGTATCAAAGGGCTGCATGTCGCACACAATTAAATGTCTTAGTTCCAGCAAGACTGTATCCTCCGAGGACAGAAACTTTGGCTCCTTGGCACCTCCTTCTCACAGAGGTCCTAGGGGCAATTTGGCAAAGGTGTGTCTCTCCTGCACGTAGTCAAGAGGGGCACAGAGATGATACTTAGGGACAGGAGACTGACCACGTTCCCTGTCCTATCACCATGTGGACTTAACTGACCCTCTGTTTTGTTCGAGTCAGGAAGGGGTCTGAGGGTTTCTTGATGTTTCCTATTTGTATAAATTCTTCCTGGCTGAGGATGTAAGCCCTGAATATCAGACAGGATGTGGTGAGCAATGAAACTTAGCTTTTCAGACATTAGCTTTTCACACCACCTTGCACAAAACAATGTTAAGTGGCAACCACAGGATCCATATGGTTCTGGGACCCAAAAAAGCTGAACTGAGACATGCTGCACTGGCTCTTGCTCTGTTTATCCAACTTTTTAAAAATAAATTTATTTGTCTCTGCCCCAGTAAACCATAAACTTAATTCAGTTTTACATGTGTGGTCTTTCTTCTCAAAAGTCTACAAATTTGTAGCCTGCCATGGGAGTAGTCGCATGTCTTCTGTGTCCAAGTCTTTGGTTAAAACCAAGGACATGAACAGGGCCACAAATAGACTCTTTTAGTATGCTACTAGAAGCTGTCCTCCAGGTTGACCCAATACTTATTCCTGCAGACATGGTCACACCACCACCTATAAATCTACCTAATTGTAGTGATTCAGCTCACATTTCTCCAATACAAGCACACTGTAAGAGACTTTGCCAGTATCTTGCTGAAATTAAGGTTAATTTTTATGCCATAGTATTTTCCTGAGCTACCGGTCTAGTAGCCTTATTAAAAAGGGAAATTAGCTGACTTAATTCCTTTATAAAAAAGAATTTTAATAAATGAATAAAGAAGTCAGTAGAGCAATCCTTTTTCTTAGCAGGTTGAAATTTCTAGGATTAGCACTATATTACATGATCTGAAAAAAAAAATCCATCTTACCATAAAACTTAAAAGTTCATGCCGTAGACGCTCAAGAATCTATATTCTCCCTTTTTAATAAAAAATGGGTATAGCAAAAATAAATGAGTATAGTATTTCCCTATTTTTTCTTTTTTGCAATGTCCTCTTAATTATTTCTGGAAAAAAAACGGATGGTATTTTTCCTTTTAGTATTATATCACTGGGATATAATTCTTTAAAACATATAGATACAACTCATTTAAAATCTAATGTATTAGATTTTCTTCATAATAATATAGAGGGGGCTGGGGGTAAATAATTAAGGGCAGAGATGAATATTATTTTCTAGACTTCTGTATACATTTGAAACTTTTCATAATAAACATGTAAAGCTAATTCACTTAAGGCAACTTGATGCTCTTGTGCCATCTCCTCAAATCTCTCATACCCATGTCATACTTGGAAGAAAGTGATAAAGGCGAAAGCAAAGATGCAGTTAAGAAATTCTGATTGATGACAGGGCTGCCTGGGTGGCTCAGTCAGTTAAGCGTCCCACTCTTAATTTTGGCTCAGGTCATGATCTCAGGATTGCGAGATCAAGCCCTGTGTCTGGCCCCACAATCCCCCCCCGCCCCCCATCTCTTCCTCTCTTTAAAAAAAAAAAAAGAAATTTTGATTGATCACACTGCTATATTCTACAAATCCTGTTTTTCCTTTCTTTTGTTCTTCCTTCCGAGATTTTTCTTCTTTCTTCCTCTCTGTCCTTCCTTTCCTCACTCTCTCCCTCCCTCCCTCCTACTTCTTTCTTTCTTTCTTTCTTTCTTTCTTTCTTTCTTTCTTTCTTTCTCTCTTTCTTTTCTTTTCTTTTTTCTTTTCTTTTTTTTTTCTCCTTTTATCCATCTACTATTTATCCAACCAACCAACCTTACCTAATTTTTGGC